ATCGTTAGCGTAGACTTGAACAGGGTGGAGCTGGGCACTGACCTGGTCTCGGGAGAACGCCGCGAAAACTTCTAGGGGCACACCAGAGGATTGAAGCTGCGCCCACTCGTCCTTGAAGAAGTAGTCTGATTCAGCGTTACGACAACCGAAAAAGAGAAGATCCTTTACACTTCCGTCATCTTGCTGCGCGTGGCCGTTTTGTAGCTTCTTATGCTCCTCGCGCCATAGTATACGTTGGTATATCAGAGAACGCATGGGAGCTACACCTGTGCCTGGTCCAATCATCACGACCGGTCTATTAAGTTCCTCTCTTCCTACACCCAGTCCGCCTCGCGAAAGAGTGACTGTGATCTCTTGTCCTGGAGTGAGTGAAGCAATATATCGCGTAGCAACACCCTGCCTAATTCTTTTAATGACAGTCTTGTACTTTACAATCGCGATCAAGAGCTCAATCTTTGTCCTATTCTCCGCCTCTGCGTCAGGATTCATTGCGCTTGCGATGCTGAACTGGCGACCACGCAATGCAGGGATGATGCTGCATACGCGCTGCCAGGGTATTTTGACAGACTCAAACTCCTGTAATACCTCTAATATGCTGCGGCGCGGGCGTGTAGTGTAGTCGTAGAGTTCGTCAAGGTACTGGGGGTCGGTAAACTCAAGTAGTCTTGCTTTGTGAAACTCGTCGTTCGTGTAGTGCGCGAGCTGGGCGAAAAATGACCTCCGTGGTATGGCGATGATGTCGAGATGGTTAGTCAGCAGCTGCCGTAGGGTAATTAGACTACCTGGCTCCAGAGTCCGGACCGGCAAGGTGGTGTCAGTGGGCGTTGAAGGCGACGAAGGTACGAAGCGAAGTGGTATATCAGCCTCGGAAGTCCAGCCCATACACTCAATGAACTGCGATACATCCGACGGGAAGTTCTTGGGGTATATTGTGAGTACATCGCCTGGACCGTAGGGATGTGTCTCTGGTATTTCGAACTTGATATGCCGTACATCCTGCCAATGATTTGTTGGAGTGACTCTCTCATTGCTTGTAATCTTCGCAACCAGTCCAACACTTATGTTCAGGAGATCTGGTGGGGGAACATCCGTCGCATCGCCATTCAATGCAGGTACAGCATTGGTGTTCGATGAAGATGTTGTATCATCGACGGCAGGCGCAAGCAACCATTTCGGGTCTAGCAGAACATCGTCCGGTATCGGCTCGACACCATCAGCGAGAGGGTAAGAGTCAAGGAGATGTTGGCGCAGTTTCGTCGACCATGGTAGGAAAGATCCGTCGATACTTTGGAATAGTCAGATATGCGCCGTAATTGCAATGATGGCACAAGTTTTGCTGCATACGCAGTTTGACAGGCAACATGAGACGATGCATCAGGAAATGGAAAGAAAATCTGCAGACGCGATAATCGTGTTGACATACCCCTCTGGATGTTGCTCGTCCGACTCTCCGCGATCGCAGACTGGCTGCGCTCCTAGCTGTACGAGGCGATTGTAGAGCTTGCGATGCGCCCAGTTGTACTTTGGATAGGACGTATCACCAAGACCAAAGGATGCAAATTTCATCTGACTCAAGCACCCTGGTCGCAGCCGAGCACTTCGGATGGCTTTCCAAAACTTCTGGCTATTGGGTGGCAGGTCACCCTGGCCCGTAGTGGAAACGGCGATGAGAACGACATCGTGTTGCAGCAGTTGTCTCTACCGACAGTCAACCATCGCTCCTTGCACGCGACACCGCCACTGACATACAAGAGTGATGGCGTTGAGCTCAGCGACTTCCGTGTGGAATCTCAGTCGCTCAGCAACCCTTCCCATCTCCTCAGCCACATCCTGCGCGTTCCCTGTTTCCGAGCCGTAGACAACCAGTGCGCGGCGCGCTTGCAGTGCACCTGCCATGGCGGTAAATCAGCAATCAGATTGCGGTGAGGCAGGCTAGCCTGGACAGGACTCGAGGAATGGGAAAATTGAATGGCAGGGCCCCCGGATCCAGTGCATGAAGAAGCGGTGCACTAGCGGACACGTCAACGGCAGGCGGGTCTTTTTCATGCTTCTAGCGGCAGTGGGCGGTGGGGCGGAGGTGAAGCTGGAGCGCCATGCAGCCAAGCTCGAGGTCTACTGTGGCGCTAGGGCGAGCTGTGGCGTCGCGCTTAGCTAAGCAGTGGTGGGCGTCGCGTGCAGGCACTGCAGTCGCACCAGAGCATGCACATATGTGCGTGCAATGGGTGAGAGAGAGTGACTGTCCTCGCTGCTTGTGCTGCGGCGAACCCGTCCATGCGCTCAGCGGCCGCCTAGTCGCCGTTTCCCCTATCCATGCACTCCTGGTCGCTGCTCTCAGGCAAGTGGGCCCTCGACTGTGCGCAGGGGCCGCTTCCGTTACCAGATGCGGCCAAGCCCCATGGCTGCGCTCTTCAAAATAATCTGCCTGGTCGAGGCCTGCCCTCTCTCTCCCCCATCAAGTCAACAACAGAGACCAACCACGCACCCCATCAACCCAATCCTCTCTCAACCTTCCCCGGGCTCGTAGCTACCCACTCCACACCCCCCTCGTCAACAGTTCCACCAGCAGGCGGTTCGGCAATCCCATCACCCACCAACCACCACTACTGTTCAAGGTTACCTTTACCGGTCTACTAGGACTCCAAGTTTCGTCAACCTCTTACACGCCCGGTCTATCACTCGTGTTCGTCAACCACCCAAACTTCAGCAATCATGTCCGCACCTGTCGACAGTGTCACCGCCCAGATGGCCACCACCTCCCTCAACGACAACAACGCTCCCACCACCACGGAGAGCACTGGCGCTCAACAGCCCACCGCAGCCGAGGACGAGGCTGTGCGTGCGAGCGCCGCTGAGGGCAGGCGACTTTACATTGGAAACCTCGCGTACGCGACCACCGAGGGGGAGTTGAAGGAATTCTTCAAGGACTACCTGGTGTAGGTGGACCCTGTTTCTCCGCATGACGCAACTCGTCCAAGCTAACACGTGGTGCAGCGAGTCCACGACCATCCCCACCAACCCACGCACCTCGCGCCCCGTCGGCTACGCCTTCGTTGCCCTCTCGACCCCGTCCGAGGCTGAGCGTGCCATCGCCGAGCTCAACGGCAAGGCCATCCTCGACCGCAAGGTCTCCATCCAGCTCGCCCGCACTCCCGAGGCCCACGCTGAGGGCGCCGGCAGCGGAGCCGAGGGCAACACTGGCGAGGCCCGCCGCCGTACTTCCACCCGTGGACGCGGTCGCGGTCGTGGCCGTGGCGGCCGTGCTGGACGCGGCGGACGCGCTGTAAGTACCTCCGCACCCCACCGCCTGTCTTCACAAGCTAATCAAGTTCTGCACCAGGCCGATGCTGAAGGCGCCGAGCAGGTCGAGCTCTCCAACGAGGCTCCTGCCGACTCCACCCCTACAAATGTACCCGGCCAAGTTGCTCCCCTGACCGAAACTACGAACGAAGCGCTTACCGCAAAGAAGGGCGCCGACAAGTCTGCTCCCCAGGGGCCCCGTGAACGCAAGCAGCGCGGTCCTCCCGAGGACGGTGTTCCCTCCAAGACAAAGGTCATGGTTGCGAACCTGCCGTACGACCTGAAGGAGGACAGGGTGAGTTTGCACATCCCCTTCTCACAGCACGTGCTAACTGGTGAATTAGCTTCTTGAGATCTTCAAGGACTACTCCCCCACCCAGGCCAAGATCGCCCTCCGCCCCATCCCCCGTTTCATGGTCAAGAAGCTCCAGGCCCGCGGTGAGCCCCGCAAGGGCCGTGGTTTCGGTTTCGTTACCCTCGGCTCTGAGGAGCTCCAGCAAAAGGCTTGCTCCGAGATGAACGGCAAGGAAATCGAGGGTCGTGAGATCGCAGTTAAGGTCGCGATCGACTCCCCCGGTAAGGAGGACGACGCTCCCGACGCGGCCGCCGATGGCGAGGCTCCCCTCACCGAGACCGCTGCCGCCAACGAGACCGACAAGGTCGTTGAGAACCCTCCCGCCACCTCTACCCCCGCTGCCACCTCTACTCCCGCCGCCTAGGTAGCGGCTGCTGCTTAGACGCGCGTCATCCTCGGCAAGTCGCGTCAGACATGGCATTGCGCTGTGGATTTGTGTATCGAAGTTTCTGGCCCATCGACATCTACCATTTACCTTGATAGAAAGATATGGGCAAGCGCCTTCAACATCTTAGTCGTTTTAGGTTATCGGGTTATCCGCAAAAGTGCGAATTCGGAGTCTGTCAGGTGTAATATGGTGGACTATCTCGGGTTCTTTACGGTTACGGAAAACTTATGTTAGCTGGCACGAGAGATGAGATATCACATGAATGAACAAACAAACAAACCTGCCGTCAATACGACGGTTGATGAATGACTTTTCTACTCTGAGAGTCTCGTGTTTCTTCCCCTGTGATTGCGAGCTGCACCCTCGCAAGACACCCAGGGTTGTCCCGAAGGCGATGGCAAGGACAATCGTGATGCGACTTTCCATGTCTTGATTCAATCAACGATGTACTAATGTGCGCCGTGTAACAAGAATTGATGGGCGGTGCATTCGACGTATTACTATTGTATCCTAAGCTCTTAAAGACATAGGAATGAAGTACATTGGGAATTATATAATATCTTGCATACCCATTATATCAGCTTTGAACAATGTTTCGCGATGTATGACAAAGAAAAACGACCTTAGTGGTGGAATACATTCTTAATCTTGTTTCCAGTTTTCTTGACCCAAGAACCGATTTTCGCCCAAAAGGAGTTCCAGCCACGTCGCGTAAGTAACACCTCATCTCTACCTTCGATGCCCATCTTGTCTTCTACTCGAGCCGTTGGCGTAGGCCAATTGAACTCTGAGAGAGTTGCGCCGGATGGGCCTGAGGGTAGGCTGACTGAAGTGATGGAACGGGTAGGAGTCGGCAAAGGCGGTACTGATTCTGTAATTGAAGCAGATACTGAGGTTAATGCTGTGGTATCTGTCGTGGATGATACTACAGATCGACGCCGGCGACGTTCGTATCCTGATTTAACTGCTGAAGCTATAGATGTCGTCAGAGGGAGTCAAAATGTCAACCTGGTCAAGTGACTTACTGGGTGATGGAGTACCAAAAGTAGCTGGTGCATTGATGCTTGAGAGCAAGGAGAACTCCACTGTCAAAGAAGTGGGCACCAGAGACACCTTCGCCGGCTCAGACTTCTTGGAACCGCCAATCAACGTAGCTGTCGCAGACAGTCCACTATACATGGGCGGAACAGTACACTCGCCGTCTGCTCCAACGGGCCCGGCATCGACGGGAACAGGACGACCGTTGTTATCAATATCAGCCATGACAACGCACCAGCCTGTCCCACTGGATATCGCTGATGGGCCCGCTTCTTCTCCTGCTGCTGCGTACGGGTATCCTTGGAAAGTCGGAGGGGAGACGCATTCCCCGCCTGATCCTGCAGGCCCACCTGCGACGGGTATAGGTGTTCCATCTCGGTTTATGTCCGCAACTGTGACGCACCAGTTGACGTCGGCGGATATGTTGTTCAGAGCAGCAATCGCTGTGGTTTTGGCAAAGACAACAGTTGTTGCTGTGGTCTTCACGGTGACGGTGCTGCGGCCTGTTGCTGGCTGGTCTTGTGCTGGGAAACTTTAGCTTTGGTAGGACTTGCGTTGGATTAAGACATACCCAGGAAGCTCACGGCATCATTTTGGGCTGTTGATCGGCTCACGCTTGCTATTGTAGTCATTGAAGGCTGTGCTGTCACTGTGGTGATGCTCGTCAAGGTAACTATTACAGTCACGAGAGATGGCCCGCCGGGAGCTACTACCGATGGTGTGATAGGCTGCGGAGTTACAGAAGTCGTGCCGGTCACCGTTACGTGTACTGTGTTTGATGCGATCGCCGAAGACACAGAAGGTGGTGATATAGGCGTGGCACTCGGGATGCTTGGCGACCCAGAGCTGAGCGTATCCGGCGGTATTGTTGCAATAGACTTGGATGATGCTTGTGAGCTAATTGGAGCTTCAGCGGGTGGTTTTGGCTGAGGGTTTCCGCAGCTCATATTCTTGATCCTTGACTGTCGAGAGCTTGGATCAATGACACTCCAATCGGCCTTCTGATCCGATGTAGTGTCTTTGAGTAACTCGAACCAGAAAGTAGTGTACTTCCCAAATACAGTACAGCCAACCTCACTCCAGAACTTCTGTAGTTCGTCTATACCGGCAACTGCAGCGCCGTGTTGCTCGGAATCGGTAAAAGGCCAGCCCATTTCTGCAATCCAAACCGGTCTGTTGCCTGCGCGCTGCTTGACTCCCTCGAGAGAGCCTTGGAAGCTTGTACTTGCTGTTCTGATACTGTCTTTGTTCCAGTACGGGTATGCAGTCATGCCGATGAAGTCCGCATTATCCACCACTGCATATTGCGCGGTATCAACGTGGCCGATTGGTTTGTCCTTCATGTACTGGGCGAACGATGAGGAAGCGATGCTATTCTTCACCTGAGCTATGGTCTGCGCAACGACCGCTGCGGTAACACCAACTTCTTGAGTCGCCTCGGCACGGTATACATCCTCGTTGCCTACAGAGAGTCCAATAATAAGATCGGAAAGAGCTTGGCCGTGCTTCTTAAATCCTTTCTCGAGTGCGGCCATCTCATTTTTGACGTTCTCATCAGGCGAACCGCCCTTCTGCGCTGGCGTTATCCAGAACCCCAGTAGTAGGTTGGTTTTGGAGGCAACAGCGGCATTGAAAGCTTCGGTCGGCTCGTCGAGGGTTTTCGCTGCTCTGCAAGTAAACAGGCGAGCACTGTCGAAGGGTATGTCGGTAGTCAGGTTCTTGGCCAGGTTGAAACCATCGAGGAAGTCTGCTTTCGGTTTGGCATTTTCTTCCTGACCCCAGAAAGCACCGTAGTTGAAGCCTGTATAGACTTGATTCGCGGCCTGCGCAAGGTAAGGAATTGAGAGACAGTAAAGAAGGAAAAGCCTCATTTCGTGATGCAAGTCTTCTCAAAGCGGATTCGGACAGTATATTGCATAGAAACAGAGGAGGAAAGTAACAGAGGAAATCCATCTAGTAAGTACGACTGAGACTTGAATGTCCATGATGTTAGCTTGAGCGATGTGATGGACTGCAGAGTGTGACAATAGGACGTCGTTGAACAATACGTATTCAGCATTATTCACACGGGTGATCGGGCTTCTACACATAGAGACGAGTAAATAGATACCAGAGTTCTGACGAGTGAATGAGTACGCGTAAATAATTTATCGTCGCTGACCTAAGTGCACCTTCGACTGCAAGTTCAGATAGACTAGATCGGGGACGATCGTCTCGCCTTGCAAGGCCAAGAGCTAAGAAGGCTTAAATGGAGTCATTGGTAGAAATCACAATGGCGGGGAAGAAGAGATGGCTGCTGTTGTGGGGATAAGACAGTAACCAATGAGGAGCGAGATGATGCAACGCCCTGGTGTCGGAGAAGCGTCCGTCCCCGCGGCTCCGAGCTCGCATCGATAAATTATCAGGAACAGCCAGCCGCCACGGAAGGAGCAGCCAGCCCGCCACCATGTCTCTCGCACGCTTTGGAGGTGCTCTCGCGCGCGCAAGGTGCTCCCCGCGGCCGCAATGGCACGCAGCGTATGTCCCCAAGTCCACCACACGTCCGACTCGCCCGTCTAATTGCTTGCAGACGTGCGCTTTCCAGCTCCGCCATCCGCACCGCCAAAGCCGACAATGAGCTCAATTCGGTCAGCAAGCACATCACCCAGCCCAAGTCGCAGGGCGCCTCGCAGGCTATGCTCTACGCCACCGGCATGAGCGAGACGGACATGAACAAGGCCCAGGTCGGCATCTCGTCCGTCTGGTACTCGGGCAACCCGTGCAACATGCACCTGATGGACCTGAACCACAAGGTCAAGGAGGGCGTTGAGCGGGCCGGACTGCTGGGCATGCAGTTCAACACCATCGGTGTTAGCGACGGCATCTCCATGGGCACAAAAGGCATGCGCTACTCGCTGCAGTCGCGCGAGATCATCGCAGACTCCATCGAGACAGTCATGGGCGGCCAGTGGTACGATGCGAACATCTCCATCCCCGGCTGCGACAAGAACATGCCCGGTGTCATCATGGCTATGGGGCGTGTGAACAGGCCTTCCCTCATGGTTTACGGCGGTACCATCCAGCCCGGTTGCGCGAAGACCCTCGAGAACCAACAGATCGATATCGTTTCCGCTTTCCAAGCATACGGCCAATTCATCACGGGCGAAATCACCGAAGACCAGCGATTCGACATCATTAGGCACGCTTGCAACGGACAGGGTGCTTGCGGAGGAATGTACACAGCAAACACAATGGCTACGGCAATCGAGACAATGGGCATGTCGCTACCTGGCTCTTCGTCGAACCCGGCGAACTCCAAGGCGAAGATGTTGGAGTGCCTTGCAGCGGGTGGTGCCATCAAGAAATTGCTCAAGGAGGACATCCGCCCGAGCGACATTCTTACTCGCGAAGCATTTGAGAACGCCATGGTCGTCATCAGCATCACCGGTGGCTCAACCAACGCTGTTCTTCACTTGATCGCGATCGCTGACTCTGTTGGTCTCAAGCTTACTATTGACGACTTCCAGAGCGTGAGCGACCGCATTCCATTGTTGGCGGATTTGAAGCCTTCCGGAAAGTACGTCATGGCCGACGTTCACGATATCGGTGGTACTCCATCGCTTCTCAAATTCCTGCTTAAGGAAGGTCTTCTTGATGGTAGCCAAATGACTGTGACTGGTAAGACACTCAAGGAGAACTTGGAGAACGTTAGAGATTTCCCCGCCGAGCAGAAGATCATCCGACCGCTCAGCGAACCTCTGAAGTCCTCTGGTCACTTGCAAATCCTGAGAGGATCCCTTGCCCCCGGAGGCTCCGTAGGCAAGATTACTGGCAAGGAGGGCACCCAGTTTACCGGCAAGGCCAAGTGTTACGATGCTGAGGATGACTTCATCACTGCTCTCGAGCGTGGTGAGATCAAGAAGGGCGAGAAGACCGTCGTTGTCATCCGCTACGAAGGTCCCAAGGGCGGCCCCGGTATGCCTGAAATGCTGAAGCCTAGCTCCGCCATCATGGGCGCTGGTCTCGGCAAGGACGTTGCACTCATCACAGACGGCCGCTTCAGTGGTGGTAGCCACGGCTTCTTGATCGGTCACATTGTGCCTGAGGCACAGGAAGGTGGCCCCATTGGCCTGGTTCAGGATGGCGATGAGATCACCATTGACTCCGAGTCCAACGAGCTGAACATCGGCGTCAGCGAGCAAGAACTAGCAGAGAGGCGGAAGAAGTGGACCGCGCCCGCCTTGAAGTACCAGAAGGGTACGCTTTTCAAGTACGCGCGATTTGTCAAGGACGCTAGCCAAGGCTGCGTTACCGACTCTGAGTAATCTTCACGTTTGAACGTCTCTCATGTTTTCATCTGTATGTATATTCTGATGGCTACAGCTGGGGTAAAAGTCACATCCGGAGTTCGGGCGGGCGATATCTGTATATTCGACACAATGCTGTCGATTTAGCTACTCGATCTTCGGCATCCTCGTCATTCATTCTGCTTCGTCCAAGCTGTCGTCACCATATGTCTCGAGCTTGATTTTGCGTCGGCGGTTCAACCTCTTGATCAGCGCTCTGTCCCCCAAGACCTGACAACACTCTTCCACGCGACTCCTTCATCATGGCCCCGAGCAAGCTCTTCAAATCCCTAATAGCATCCCACGTGGCTTTGTCTAAGCCTGTCCCGAACCCTCTGTAGGAACTCCTCACCCAATGCATCAACACCGGTAACGGGTTCAGTGTCACCATGCTCAGAAAAAGAATCCTCCTCAAACTTCAGCCTACACAACTATGCCGGGTGTTGTAAAAGCAACTGCACTGCAAGGTTCGTCATCTTTAAGATATGTCAACATGGCAATGAGTGCTCGAATGTTCCGAGTAGTAGAGGTCGCTGGCAAGCAGCAACAGGTGCAGCGTCTCCTTGATCAGCTCACAATGCCAGCCCTTACTGACCAAAAGCCCCAGTGAAAGCTGACCGCGGTCGTGGAGAGGCTGGATCTAGGGCGATATCGAAGAGCAATAGACGTGATCTTTCTCTACACGAGCTTGGATGCTATGAGAGGGCAATTGCTGTGCAAAGTGGTGAAAAATGTTGTAATGCGTCAAAACATAGAGAAGATACGGAACAAATTGAGGGAGAAGGGAAGGCCATCTAAAGACAAGGGCTGTATAATGAGCTGTTATCTGAGTTTGACAAGGCTGTTGACATCCTGGTACATTTGGTCCCTGATCAGTGATTAAAAGCAAAAACAGACACGGCATAAAGTTCCGATACGAAAAACAATAGAATTTGCGGGATCCTCTCCCGTAAAGTTGCGGCAACTTTAATCCCTGATCCATTCCTTGCCATGTTGTTCTGTGAAGATTGAGTTTCTCTTCCTCATGCCGGTGAGTGTCAAGAGTTTCGGAGAAAGGTGCGGACAGGTAGGCACGTGAACGCATTGACCGCCCTGCGTCGAGAACCACGCCTGGATCGTTTCATCGCACACTTACACCTGCAGCCTCAGCTTCATCATGGCAAACTCCGCAACTTTAATGATTTGTTAAGGGGTCGCGGTGACCCAAGGAAAGGTCCAAGGAAAGGTAATGCAGGGCGAGCAGTGTGACCTGGTTGCGCAGCTCCCGGGAGCATGGATTCCGCGCAAGATAGCTCATTTCTCCCCTGACCCGGTGTTTTGGAGTGTTTGTTGATGATCAGGTGTTCATGTTGGACAGTCAGGTACCTGCGCTGGCCGAGCTTGGATAGCTGACGATCATCGACGAAGACATGGGAGACCGGCGCAAAGCGGCAAGATTGTGCCAACAACGAGGCGAGACCGCGACTGTTCGTTACCGCTATCTTGGTCTGACATGGAAATGCGCTCGCATCGATGACCGGAAAGCTGCAAAGTGGGATATCGGCGAGCTGTGTTGCCGGCCATCGAGATACCTGCCGTTACAGCTCGAACGACAATCAAGAGTGGAGCTGATCTCCCTCGTTCCGTTAGCCGTGTCGATCATCGCGTCCGCTTTGGGCTGCCCTCGACGCGCTAGACAGAACTTGCCGATGACGCTGAACCATATGTTCCGAAAACGCAAGATCGACGTCTTGGTATGTAAGTCCTCGGAAGTGCAGATCGTCAGGGGAGCCAGCCATACATGCAAGCCTAGGGTCACAGAAGACTCGGTGGGTCAAGACAGATGTATCGTGAGCCTCACCACCTCGCAGATGGCCAGCAAGACGAGGCGAGTCCCTAACGAGACAGCAATCTGAGCACAATCACCGCGGACTTCCGCAGTGTCTGACCGCCTACAGATTCTCGCCCCAATTTCGAGTCCCCCACGAAAACTAAGACGTGTCTTTGACATCTGTTGCGCAACCTAACTTACTCAAGCCCATGAGTAGCGTTCCGGAAGCTTGAAGGCCGGGATCTACCTCGAGATACGCGCTAAGGATGAGGGTCTAGTCTCATTATCCCTTAGCATGCGTGGGCCATACCCCAGAGGATCAAATCTTACTCCTCAGCTAGGCTAACAAGCTTCAGAGCGGTCTACGTGCAAGAGGCTCATCGGCAACGGCAGTATCGGCGATGCTTTCATGAAGATCGCCAATGCGTGCGCCATGACTAGGCAAGCTGTAGCTCTAGTCTTCTCATCATGGTATGGCTTGGTGTAGGATCTCTCCACCCCGGTGACGATTGCGGCTTGTCTTGGGCCTGAGCGTCTAGGAGAGTATCGATTGACTAGACGTGCTGACTCGGTGTATCAGAAAGTACCTGGGTGCTTTGAGGGCATATAAACCATACTGCAGTCCACCTACAATCATCATCCAGCTCACCTACCACACTCTTTCAGTTCTTTGCCAATCGCTCAGTTCGCTTTAGACTAATAATACTTATCCCTCTTAATATCCACCAACCCACCA